CGTGACTCACATAATTGAAACTACCACAAATGGAGTTCGATTGCTAAAAGAACCAAATGACGCTTACTGCTGCAATTTATGAGACATACGACAATGGCAATTCAACTTATCTGATATTCAAAATAATCATGACGAGATGAGTCCTTAAAATGATTATGGTCATGAAGTTCCCTATCAACTTCCTTTTATCTTTTATTGAATCTATTTGATATAACCTTTCACAAACCTTCAGTAAGTGCATACATGTTTCCAATAATACCATTAAGGATGACTATGCTCACATGTGTTTACAGAGCATGGCAATTTAAATTTAAACTCATACTTTTAAGGCAGCTAAGCAGGCTTCAAACAAGAGCTAAGCACAAACACAGAGTGGTGAAACGGGCAAAATTGAGCAGACACATAGACGATAAAACCCAGCACAAACAAACACAGATTTAGCAATCAACCAGCGTGGATCCCAGCCACTCTTTCACAAACAAATTAACACTGTCCGATTCATCAAAATCGTAAAAGAAGATAGAAGAAGTAGGGAATGAACATGAGCCAATTTCAATTAATTCAACTGGAAAAGTGTAAGTTTACAGCTGTGTACCTCTCAACTAATGCAGACAAGGAAGGTGAACCAAATAAGAGCCATTATGTGAAAAACAACAAGGCGTCGTCAAGATGAAAACTCAGCCGCAACAGATTCGAACTCAGTGAGACAGCGATGAACTCGACTTTAACCCAGAAAGAGAAAACAAAACTCACAAAAAGTTTTCGCCAACATCAAACCCAGACACCTCAAATTCTATCAAAACTCAAGTCCATTGTGAAGCAAAAAATCGAAATCGAAGAGAAGAAACAGAATAAACATGACATCGGACTGCTCCTGAGCGCTTTTGTGCTGATCTGCAGCCGCGCTCCGCTATTTCCGACGCTGGTTTGCTGCAATTTTTGGGACTGATCTCATGCATTTTTGGGGGTAGTCTGTTCCGGCGGGTTTTGGTGAGGGAGATTGGAGATTTGGGGTTGTTTTTGGGGTGGATTTTGTGAGTATGTGTGTGTGTGTTATGGCTGATTTTATAGTGAGAGAATGGAGGAGCAGAGGCGTTTTTCGTTGATGGGGAAGGGGTCACGTATTTCGCGTGTCTCTAGCTTCAGGGGCTTTTAACAGAGAAAGGGGGGGAAACGGGTCAAGCATGGCTAAACGGGTCGGGGTGGAATTTGGTTTGGGCCGGTTCGGTTTTGGGCTGGGTGGTTTGGGTAGTTTTTAAGCTGAGATTTGGGCCTGATTTGGGTACAAGAATGAACCCAACTCATATTAAACCCCCTCTTTCATTGTTTTAACTTTGTTTTTCTTTTTCTTCTTCTTTAATTAAAAATCCTAAAATTAAAATCCTAGATTATCTAACAATGTGAAATTAAACTAATTAACTATTTATAAAACTAATAAAAGCTACTTAATCCTAAATTAAAAGAGAAAAAATCGATAAAAGGAAAAAGTGTAAAAATGAAGCATTTTTGTAATTTTTAAATTTTATAAAATAAGTAATTACTAATTAATTCTAAAAATGTAAAGATAAGGCCTAAACGCCATACGTGATATTTTTGGTATTTTTTATGATTTAAATGCAAGAAAAATGCAAACAATTAATAAAAATCTATAAAATTCCTAAAATGGCAAATAATTAAGGAAAAATCTATTTTCTCGGGATTTTGTAGGAGTATTTCGTATAGGGCAAAAATTACGTGTTTACAATGGGTGCACTCACATATATTTAAGTAAGTTTTAAAAAATATAACATAATTACACATGATTTAGGGAGAGGAGTATGGGTTCACGTGAATCCATACCCTTAGGCCTAGATACGCCCCTGGCCAATAGAACTTCTTGGGGGCGGACTTATACTATACACAGAGGGGTCACCGGCACCGGTAAAATTCGGTAAAAATTCCATGTGTATGTCTTTAGAAAATAGTAAAATATTAGTAGTGGACACACTATATAAAATTTTAGTTGAATCCAAAAGTGCACCATGACCTTCAATTCCTGGGTTCGCCTCTACTTGGGGGTTATCCAGTTGCAGATATATGAGGAATATTGCCTATTCTTTTATGTTCAAAAGTTTCAATTGTTCAATTACCCCATGTTATTATCAATGGTCAAGTACTATCTCAGAATTGCTTGTGTTGGATATCCAATACTTCATCCACTGTCTAATAGCTGGTTAATCAACAGATATAAATTGTGGAAAGAACCATTTAATCATCTGATGATTTCGAGTTAATTAAAACGCCATCAATGTTTGGCATGCCATTATTGGTAATACATACTATCCTTTTCACCATCTGTTTTGAACTTGGAATTCATGTCGCGACACAGCTAGACATTAGAGTATGGAGTTGCACTCATTGAGTGGCCAATATTCCTTTCCTTTCATCTTCAATTCAAGTGAAAAATCACACTCAGAGGGGTAAAAAGCCAGTTGCAGCAACTATAGGGGCAACTTGACCCATGCAAAAGGTGAAGTAGCTTTTGCAGAATTGCAATTTATAAGCTAGAAAAGATCAAGTCCTTATGAACTATAGGGGGTGCATCAAACCCATTCAAATGAACCTTTTCTGATATCGATCACACCTTAATCAAGACTACAATCGAATAATAGCACATTAAAAGTACTAGATCAAGCAAATAACAGGAGGTCCTTGCATACCATGTGTAGCATCTACTTTAATTTCCAGAACATAAAACAAGGTTATCTAACTGCACGATCCCTCTGATCAAGACTATTGACTTTCACTTACAAATAATGACCTTGAATTCAGAATTCCCCATCTCCTCAATTTGTGTTTCCTTAATTTTGAGGGCAGCATTTACAACAGAGTAGCGACATGATCTTACCTCAATCATTTGCATCGTACACTTGCTTCCGAAGCTCTCAGGGATTTCCTCTAGGTTCCAACACCATTGCACAAGTACTTTCTGTAGGCTGGGATACGAATCATCAGAGGCCGTCCATTCTGAGATTCGTAGATCCTTTAATTTCAAAACTTTAAGGTTAGGAAATTCCCCATCCTTAACGTCCCATTGTCTCCCTCTGAAGGCATTTCCTTCGAGATTCAGAACTTCAAGGTTGGATAACCTGCTGATGGTTAAGATTCTACTCCAGGGGAGTTCAAGACATGCTAAAGTTAATTTCTTGAGGTTTAACGGATATGTAAAGTCTTCAAAACCATAGGGATCTACCAATTCCCCAGAGACACCAATCTTGAGATAATTCAGTTGACTAAGAGAGTCAAAACTAGGAAAGAAACTGCTAGACGAGTTTCCTGAACGATATAATTGACAACTGAGCTTTTCAAGATTGGGAAATCTTTTCATAAAATTCTGGTAATACATCCCAGGAAAAATAACCAGATCGGAACATGTTTGTAAGTTGTCAAGATTGTGTAACGGTTGATAGGTATATAGCGGTGTTATATGCAGATGTCTCAAGCTTGTCATACTCCAAATGGTAACGGGAATGCAGGTTTGATCATGGTATCCAAACACTATAAATGTCTCGAGCTTCTTCAGGTTGCATATTGAATCTGGAATGTTATGATCAAAACACAACTGCAGCTCCAAATACTTCAAATGAATCAGATGTTGTAAAGCATCATCTACAAGTGTCTGACGTAGCCTTACGGAACCCAAATCTAATACTCTTAGATGTTTCCAAGTCAAATCATAATCAACAATAGGAGAATATATAGTAAGGTGTTGATATTTTTTCCAAGTCTAAATTTTTCTCCAAGAAGCACTTGAGAAGGTGCTAAAATATTCACACGTTTAGAACGACTCTCAGGCGATGGAAATATACCAAGACTGGTTCAAGAAGGAGAAGATCGCGATGCATTATAATGATAAGCAGCAACAAGATACATATAATTGATTGTACTTACCCGATTCTCCTCAGCCAACTTCTGCGAGATGAGCAAAATTCACCTACTCTGGTTCAAGATAGAAAAGGAAGGTAAGTGCCATTACCTCAGCAAGAAAAAAAGACATTAAATTAGTTTTACTTACCTATTTATCCTCAGCAAAAAGTTCTCGTTTTTAGCTTTTACCAAACTGAATTCATGTATTAAATCATGAATATGGATGACTTTAAGCTCCCCTAAGGAATTGATTTTGGCCACCATTACAAGGTTGCTGCTAATTAAATCCATCAAGTAATCCATGGCAACCATTTCTAAGCTCTTCGATGTACTACTAGCTTCAACAAAATTTTCTGCGATCCATAGTCGTATCAGTTTTTTAACAGGAACTTTCTGGTCTTCTAAAAATGAAGCAAAGTAGAGAAAGCATTTCTGCAAATGAATGGGTAAGTGTTGGTAACTCGATTCAACTATATCCATGCAGTCTTTCATTCTTGATTTCAAACTTTCCGCGACTTCTTCCCAGTAATCTACTTCCTTATCATTTTTTGCAAGAAAACCTGCTATCAGTATAATAGCAAGGGGTAATCCTCCACACTTTGTTACTATTTGCTTACCGATCTCCTCGAGTTCTTGTGGACAATAATTGTCTTCTTTGAATACCTTCTCCTTCATTAGCATCCAACTTTCTTCTTCTGTGAACAAGCGAAGGAAATGAGGACTCGAATCGATCATGGCATATGTGGCGATTGATTCAAGTCTGGTCGTCAAAATAATTCTACTTCCTTTATCATCATCTGGAAAAGGTCTTCTTATATCATCCCATGCCTCATAACTCCACACATCATCGACAACAATAAGGTACCTCTTTCCCTTCAAATGTTTGTAAAGCTTCTCAGCTAGCTCGTCATCACTCTTTTCTTTGGTAATAGTATCAAGCTTACAATTATGATTCAATAATTCGAATAAGAGAGATCTCTTATCATAAGATTGGGAAGAACAACACCACAAGCCAATGTCAAAGCGATTGGAAATTGATTCACAATCATACAATCTCTTAGCCAAAGTTGTTTTTCCTAGTCCTGGCATTCCAAAAATTGAGATCACATCTAATTGCCGAGGCCCTGTCACAAGTTTCTCCATCAGCATCTCAGTCTCTCTCTCAAAGCCAATCATCGCATCCTTTACTTTAATGACTTGATGATAGATAGAGAGGGGAGGAATGGAAGAAAATATGAACAGCCTTATGCCGTGGAAACAGCCTCTTGCAGAAATGCAGGGTAAGGCGGCATACAATAGACCGTACCCTTATGGTCCGACCCTTGTTCGGACCCTGCGCATAGTGAGAGCTTAGTGCACCGGCTGCCCTTTTTAATGGAATACTACACAGAATGTAAAGAAAAGACTTTTAATAAATGCTGTCCTTAAGAAGTGGGAAAATGTAGTTAATTTCGGTTATTTATGTATGTATATTTATCAAATCTTGTATAAATACCTCGTTCCCCTTGGATCTATTCTATTAAAAATAAATCTAATGTACTTGATATTTTTCATCAATTCTTTTATTGGTTGAGAATTTTATTGGTTTCTCTATTAAACAATTTCAAGCAGATTGGAGAGGTGAGTTTCAAGCCTTGACTTCCTACTTGCGTACACATGGGGTAAAAAATGTGTGTCCTGTCCATATACCCAGTTTATGGCCTTGGCATTTTGATTAATGGTGATATTCTGATAATGGTGATGCCGAGTAAATTTTATGGGTGGTCATTCAACTTTGTGTTCATTGTTCATGTAACGACCCGGTCCTTCGTTCTGAGGGTTATAGCCCCATTTCCCCCATCTATGCTTATTTATATGTTGTTCAGCTGTGTTGAGTTGTATCGAGTTGGTAGGTTTGGGTTCGGAGTAGTTTTGGAGTGAGATGAACACTTATGAGTAAAAGAATTCGGATTTGGATTTTTATGATTTGATTAGCTTCGTTGGGTGATTTTAGACTTAGAAGTGTATTCGGAATATAATTTGGAGGTCTGTGGTAGAACTAGGCTGGAATTGGCGAAAGTTGGAAGTTTAGAAGTTCTTAGGCTTGAATTCGAGGTTTATTTGGTGTTTTGGTGTTGTTTTGGGTGTTCTGGAGGTTCGATTAAGTTCGGGTAGTGATATATCACTTGTTGAAATTATTGGTTGAGGTCGCGAGGGCCTCGGGTGAGTTTCGGATAGGTTTGGGTTGTGTTGCGCTCGTTTTTCTTATGTTTCGACGCCGTTTCTTCAAGCATAAATGATATCATATTGAACAAATGAGCTCCGATTTCTTTTTTGATTGAAGCATTAGATCTGTATTGTAATTACGGACCTGTAGCAAAAAGAATCGTCGAATTTGGACATCGTATGAGGATTTTAGGGTCATTTTACTAAGAATTAGGTTGCCAGATTTTTCAGGTTAATTATGAAATTGCCACTTACGGCGTATTTAAAAATCTGTACTATTTGCAAATATTAAAACCTACATATCTCCTTCGTTATAAGGTCAAATTGAGTGATTCAAAAGCCTAACTTGACTAGAATTTCACAAGGAATCCATTGGAGGCATAAATACGAGTTTCGGGATCGTTTGGCTCGAGAAACAAGGCAGAATAGCTGGTAGAAAAATATACAAAACTAGGGTTTGTTCATTCGGTCATATTTTGAGTTGGGGAGCTCGGATTTGGGCGATTTTGGAGGCGATTTTCACCATATGGATTGGGATAAGTGTTCTCTACTCGATTTTTATTATAATTTATGAATCCATCTTTATTTTTGGGATTTGATTGATGATTTCAAAGTGAAATTGAGGGAGTTAGGGTTTGAGTTTTGGAGAGTTTTAAGTGAGGATTTGAGGGACCAAACGGAGTCCGATTTTGACAAACTTTATATGGTTAGACTCGGGAGAGGACGAGGATTATTATTCTGCCATTTTTGACTGATTCCGAGACGTGGGCCCGGGGGCCGAGTTTTGGCCGATTTCGGATTTTTGGCATGTTTATGTAGTTTTTATTGTGTAATTCGATTCTTTAGACTATTTTGATAGTAGTATTCTGATTATGGTTAGATTTGAAGATTTTGGAGACCAAGTCGAGGGACGAGGACATCCCGGAGTAGGATTTTACGTTGTTAAGGTAAGTAACAGTTTTAACTCTGGCTTTGAGGGTATAAACCCGGAGAAATTGATATCATGTGATTGTTTGGTGGTGATACCCACACTAGGTGACGGGCGTATGGGTGTATACCGCGAGGGATTGAGACTTGGTCCGTCCCGTGAGGCCAGGCCTAAAAGCTATTATCTGTGGTTATGTGTTTACTTGTTGTTGAACTTGTTTGCCTTCATGTTAGAGATCCTGTTTAGGTTTTATTCATGCTCACATTATTTGTACTCAGTCATAGAAATTATTGTACATGTTTACCTTAGTCTCTATTATTTGCTAATATGTTGTGATACTTGATGTGGGCTGTGTTCCCTTATTTGTTGATGATGGTGAGGCTAGTGAGGTACATGACTGAGTGAGGCCGAGGGCCTGGTTGTGAGGATATTAATACCATAGCGCGTGAGTTGTCCGCGTAGCACGTGAATTGACCGTGCGGGTCCAGGTATTGATACCATAGCGCGTGAGTTGTCCGTGTAGCACGTGAGTTGACCGTGCGGATCCAGGTATTGATATGATAGCACGTGAGTTGTCCGTGCTTAGCGCTTGGGCTTTGGGAGCCCCTCCGGAGTCTGTACACACCCCAGTGAGCGCAGAGTGTTGAGTGTATTGAGTGTTGAGTGTTGAGTGCTGAGTGCGAGTGTTGAGTGATGGAGTGACATTGTTGTGAGGTTGCATTTACATTTGCTGTTGCTGCATTTATCTGTTAAATATCTTTGTGGCTTTTACTGAGTTATAGAATTTACCTGTTTATTCCTGTTATTTTTAAAATTGTGAATAATAAATAATTGGACTATTTTGCTCAGCTCGTCACTACTGCTCAGTTCCTTAGTTATTTCTGTTACTACTGAGGTGGTTGTACTCATACTACACCCTGCAGTTTATGTGTAGATCCAGGTGAGTTCGTTGAGTTCAGGCCGACTATCTGTAGAGATTGCAAGGTAGCTGCCAGCGTCCGCAGGACCTCATTACTCTTTTTGTCATTTCTTCTTTTAGATAGTTATATATTTTAGTTCATAGTTTTAGACGCTCATAACTTAGTGACACCTCGATGTTTGGGACTCGTTTTTATATTTTATATTATTTATATTTAGAGTTGGTTTAGTTTATCAGGAATTAAATTATTGAAAATATTTTATTAAATTCTTATAATCAAATTAGTAGTAATATTTTGGGAATAGGCTTGCCTTGTAACACGATAGGCGCCATCACGACCAATGTTAGATTTTGGGTCGTGACAGCTCAAGACTTATTTTTCTTTCTTTTGTCACCCAAAAGTCATTCACGACCAATTAATGTTTGGATAAAAATCCTTTCCGGCATCATCCCATTCCGAGGACTCTAATTTTGTGTTCATTACCCAAAAGTTATTTTTCTTTCTTTTGTTACACAAAAATCATTTACTATGCATTATGCATTAGTTATATCACAATAATTACTTTGACCAGATTTAACAAACCTTTCAGCTGAAAGTCTATTATACCCTTGACATTACAAAATCCTCCCATTATGTGATAATTTTTATATTATATGCTATATAATATACTTTTACCCAGGTATTTTACTTATAATAAAAATAACTTCATATTATTTTATTTATTATTTTTATAATATATTCGTGCATTTATTTTTTTTCTTAATATTAATTTTCAAGATATATAAGTAGCATTATTAAATATGTCAGTAACATTATCGTGAACAAATCTCAAGTCCGCGTTCTTAATAATGCTTAATGAAATATGTTTAATGAAAATTAAAAAAGCTCATTGATTTATCAGTCAAGCCATACCCATTAATTTAATAAATAAAATACCCACATTTAGCAAAATGACACATCAGATTAATACTTTCAAATAAATAATATTAAAGCTTTAAAAACTTAATATTAAACACAAATATCTTTGAAACTTTTTTAAAGAAATTTATTGATTGTAAAAAACTATCACTTGTTAAACAAATTTATTTTTTATTTTTTTTAAATAAATATTAAAAATAGATATCTTTTTCTCATTTTTATATTTAAAATATGTTCATGTTTGAATATGATTAAACAAATAGAGTGCCATGAAAAAATCCAATGTATGGATATATTATAAAAATAATAAATAAAATAATTTAAAATTGTTTTAATTATAAGTAAAATACCTAGGTAAAAATATATTATATAGTATATAGTATGGAAGGTATTACATAAATGAGAGGATCTATAATATCAGGACATAATATACTTTTCAAGTAAAACTATTGTAAAATCTGGCGAAGGTGACTTTTGTGATAAATAGAGCAAAGTAAACTAATTTTTGTGTAACAAAAGAAAAGAAAAGTGATGTTTGAGTAATGAACACAAAGTTAAATAATTTTTACGTAACAAAAAAAAAATTGACTTTTACGTAAAGAACACAAAATTGAATGACCAGCCATGAAATTTACTCTGATTTTCAAGACCGAAACAATAATTTCCGATGGATCGAGTGAGCCACTTAAGGACAAATTAGTTGCTTAAGGTTTCAATAAATGCCCTGAAATTGACTGTGGTGATACAACTATTTGACTATCTCTCTCTATTGTCGTATGACAAGAATGGATTATTAATCAGCTTGATATCTCTAACGTGTTCTTGCATGGTAAGCTAGAGGGGACGATGGTTCAACCACCAGATTCGTTGACCCTAATTATTAGGGGTGGAAAAATGGTTAAAAAGAAAACTATATTATCTACTAAAAATAGGTTGGATAATGAACTTTTCAAAAACGGATCAAATATGGATAAGAACCATATTATCCATTTAGAAAATGGATAATCAATGAGTAACCAATGGATAACCAATGGGTCTAACTTTTACATTTGTAAAGCCTCAAATTGGGGATTCCTCAAGTTAGGGAGACTAAGAATTCTCCCAAAATTGATCATATACAAGAAGTCATGGATAATATGGGTAACCCATATCATCCGCCAGTTAACCAGTTTTATCCGTATTAAATATGGGTCGGATCGGATAATTTTTTAATTACCCGTTTTTTACCCGAACCATATCCGACCCGCCTGTTTGCCACTCCTACTAATCACCCTTATTATATATTCAAGCGATAGAAGTCTATTTATGGCTTTAAACAAGCTCCTCGAGTCTGGAATGAATGTTTGACTGATGCTCTGTGTAAGCTTGGTTTCCGAGGCTCCAAAGCAGTTT